CCGTCCCGGCGAATCGCGTGGATACCCGTACGGGGAAGACGAGTCAATATCTCTCCCCACGTGAAGCCGCGGGCAGGTAAAAATGTCTCAACTTGGGTGCCCTGCCTCGTCCTGGACGCTCCTTTTGCTCCCTTTCTTCCCAGGCCCTCTCCTTCTCTCCCCTATCTATCTATCTTCCGCCGAGGGCGGCTGCCTCCTTCCTTCGCCCGCCCCGAGGAGAGCAGCCGTGGGGAGGAAACGAGAGGGGAACGTAGCGGAACGAGATGGATGGACCGTTCCTTGTTTCTGCGCGGTGTTTAAAAGTGGCGAATGCCGCGACCACTCTGCCCGTAGTTAGACTAATGATCAGGCCCGACGTGTGCGACGGCTGTTGAGTTTCGGTTTCCTCGTCCGCCGCTCTTCCGCTCTTTAACTCCTTTCACCACGGACAATTCTCCTCGCGAGCAGAGTTTCGTTACCACGGCCTACGATTTACTACGACTCTCTTTCCATTCTTTCGTTTCGTCGTTCGTTCCTTCGATCGATCGATCATTTCGAGAAATTCGATCGTTTTCGATTTCGAGAGCAGGTCATCGGGAGAGAGAGACGGGAAATGTTAAATTATAAGAAGTCGAAATATTTGAGGGGAGGGGAGGGGGAAGTAAATTAGTCATCGAAACGATTCTTTTTTCTTCGAAACGGTTGAAGATACACGTTTCTAAATTTCATTTCGAAGTTAAAAAACCTTGGTAATTTCGGTAAACCTCGGCCAAGGACGCTCGATCGATCGATCGATCGAGGGCGCAATTATGCAAAGTATACACGTAAAAGGCTGCAAACGCGGCGGGGCGATCTTTACAGGGAAAGAGACGATATTCCCACGGTCGATGCCGTTCGAACGATCGTCCTTCCGACTCTAATAATCCAACCTAAATCGAAAGTTGTCGAACTGTGATGGTGGTGGTGGGATCGATTCATCGTCGATCAACCCGCGAAACTAGTTGCATCTCCTAGAAACGGTTCACGGATATTTCCAGGAAAATATCGCAAGAACGAAGAACCGTGTGGAGCGTTCCTACGAAAAGAGACGAGAGAGAGAGAGAGAGAGAGAGAGAGAGAGAGAGAGGGGGAGGCACGGTCGGAGAGTTGCTTCGATCTCCTCCTCTCTATCCTCTCTTTCTCTTTCCGAGTTCTCGCGTGTGCATGTTACTACGCTACGGGAGGAACGAGGAGGAAGCAAGATTCGGGAGAAGATCAGGACCTCTGTTCTCTCTCTCTCTCTCTCTCTCTCTCTCTCTCTCTCTCTCTCTCTCCCTCCCTCTATCTCGGAGAGGATGATCGGAGAGTTAAAGAGAAGAGGAGGAGAGGGGCGAGAGAAAGAGTAGGATGTCGGTGGTGGGGTAAAAAACAAAAGTCCAGTCGGTCGTGGAGCGGTCCAGGATGGTCCCAAGCTATTCGGGACCACCCCGAGAGCCGAGGGGTCCAGCTCGGCTCGCGGCAATCAGGTGCCGTTGGAATGCGACCGTCCGGAGAGAAAAACAAAACAAATTTTTATGCCCTCGTCCTCCCATCTCCCTTCTTTTCGGCTTTCTCCTTCGCT